CTAGTTAACTAGTGAGACACAAATACCTTCAACTAGCTGACTGGTATGCATTTTGGCCTTTACTAGTTAACTAATGAGCCATTTTTGTGTCAACTAGTTAACTAGTGAAGGTCAAAATGTGTTCACTAGTTAACTAGCGTGTACAGTTTGACCCTCACTAGTTAACTAGTTGACCTGTTGACAATATATCAGAATTAATGCTCAAGCGGCTGGCCAAATTGGGCAAAGTTAACAAGTGGGATTTTTACATTCAGTAGTCAGCTAGTACGAGTTTTTGTACCTTACTAGTTGACTAGTAAAAACTAAATGTGTTTTAACTAGTTAACTAGTGGACATTGATCTGTCCACTAGTTAACTAGTGAACACACTGAGCAATACTAGTTAACTAGTAAGATATGAAACATTTTAACTAGTTAACTAGAGAGAATTTAGGCCTTACTAGTTAACTAGTTGACATTTAGGCTGTCACTTTTTAACTAGTTGACACAAACATGTCTAACTAGTTAACTAGTGGACAGAAATGGCTTACATGTTCATGACAATTCTGGCTGATATCCTGATATCAGAATAAATGCTCATTTGGCTTGCCATAGAGCGGAGGACATTCATTTCAGGTCGGAGTTGGTAATTGTCACGGTTTTGAACAAAGGTAGCCTGTGCTGCCTCGAGTGTGTTTAAAGTTTCAGTCATCATTATGGAGAACACAGAGAGACTGGCGAAAGCAGAAAATACAACTGGCTTGTGTAGGAAGAGCATGCACAAGAAAAAACAAACACAAAACAAGCCTGAAATGTCTAATGCAGCTACAGCACCAGTTTGTGTGAGGGATAAATAGTACAAATGATTTAAACTCAACCTGTGTTGGTGCTAGGCTAACTGACATCCATGCAGGCAGTACCCTGACTCACAGATAGGGGCAGAGCTGAGCTCCATGGGCTCAGGTGCATGCTGCAGTCTCTTGCACAGGGTGGGGATGTGAAACCGACATCTTTAAAATTTGCTCTGACAAAATAGAAGATTATGGATCTAAATTGAAGGATTTATTTAAACTGGATTTTCAGTCAGAACAGGAGATGTTAGAAGATGATTTTTACAGCGCCGGTCTCGGCGCTGTAAAAATCATCATCAAAATCAAAAATCACGAGGCGCTTATTTTTATCTTGAGAGGCGCTATAGAAATGATACTTTCTTCTTCTACAGTAGATGTCAGGGGCATGGACTTCATAAAACACAAAAGTGAGATCATACACAATCATCAAGTCTAAAAGAAGAGAGATCTGCCAAGATAATGAATGAAATTTTAAAGCGAGATTTGCCCAAATATTAAATAAATTTTGCTTAGTGTTTTGTTGAATAGTGTAAACCTGATTAGCCATCCCACTGTCCTATCGGGTGATCCCTCCAGGAAAGGTGATCATTGAGCAGGGTGGATGGTTTATCACTTGAGGTCCATGTAGCAGGGGTGAGGTGGTGCTCACTCCTAACCCCTCGCACGTCATAAGTATATACTAGTTTACATGCCTCTGCACATGCACGGATTATACAAAGGGGCGTAGCATTCTAAAAGATGTGATCGGTTGCCCAAGTCCCTTTTTATCATGGCTGTGTTGACAGAGCTGGGGCTGAAACTTGCATGGAGCACAACAGCGTTGGCACATATATTAAGGAAACCCGCTTTCAAACGACAACAACTATCGTTAGCTTCGTAGCTAAGCTTTGCATCAAGCTGTACCTTTGTCTCCTCGCAGTTGCTGTTTTGATTCCACTGTTGCTTTCTTTCCTCTGATGATGTGATAAACATTTTATTAATAAATATTTAACATCTAATCTAAACAATATTTGTAATCAATTATATACATTCTAATCTATGTAAAAGCACACACACACACACACACACACACACACACACACACACACACACACACACACACACACACACACACACACACACACACACACACACACACACACACACACTGAGGTTCTGTTTTGCTTCTGCACAGCAGGGACTTTTTCGGAGGCAGATGACACATGGAACCGAACCGGAACTGCTCCGAATCCCGCTGCTGCAGCACAGCTAATGTTTTAAAAAGGTAATCCAAGGAAGTTGTAAATAGCATTCGGCCACTTCTGCCTTTGATTTTGTTGTTTTGTACTTCGAGCAGTGACGCTAAACTAAAGGCTTGTTAGTTAAAAAGTTAGCTTAACAATTGAGTTGCCGGATCCTAGCAGACAGTTATCGAAACGCGTCCTTTCAAAATAAGACAGGCTCAAATTAAGTTCTGGTGCTGAGAACCTGTTCCCGGCCTCACAGACGATCACGTAAGCAACGTTACTTACGAAGCTAACAGCCCAGATGACGCCATCGGAGACCTGCGGCTTCGGGACTGCAAGGCAGCGGAGTGGATGGAACATCACCATGGCAACGCACCATAACAACGTTTCCGGCTTCAAGGATGACCACGTTTCTTTTAATGACCGTATTTAGGTTTCATTCAAGGTCAAAATTAAAACACAATCTTCTATTTTGAGATCATATGCCTCCTGGACACCTCCCTGGTGAGGTTTTCTGGGCATGCCCAATGACCCAGGACACGCTGGAGGGACTATGTCTCTCAGCTGGCCAATGAATGTCTTGGGATTCCCATGGAGGAGCTGGCCCAAGTGGCTAGGGAGAGGGAAGTCTGGGCCCCTCTGCTCGGCTGCCGCCCCCAAAACCTGACCCCGGATAAGCAAATGAAAATTATGAAATGGATGGATATCTGTAAGTCTGACTCCTGAGAAGTCATGAACCTCACCACACGTTACTCTGGTTTGGGAACCATTGTTGTTTCATGGCTGTGTTCTGAGGCTAAACCTTTATGAAATCCACTCGTCTGGCTGAGAAACAACCTCTCACATGACTGAGCTCTGGTTGCTTCTGTGTTGACGTGACACAGAACTGATGGTAGAGCTCAAACTTTTTCTTTGAACATTTGTCTGGATGCCACAAACGATCAGAAGAAAGACTCATTAGAGAAAATGTCTCCATCCCAGTCCTCAGCAGTCCAATAGCTGGACCTTTTGCAGAAAATCAGCTTGCCACAAACCAACACCAGGCCCTCCTCACAAAGTCTTCCCCTCACTTTGCACGCAGAAGCACTCACACCTGCCTCTGGTCGTTTCTGAGCTCTGCCCTGATGGAGTTCCGGTCCTGCAGCTAGACGCCCTTGCTGGACTTTTTTGTGTGTCCTGAAACTTTCGTCTGAAATGCAGTGGGAGTAAGTTTGACAAGTCATATTTTCAAAATGTCTGTCTGTATTTAATTAAATACTGAAATGTTGTGAAAAAAGATGCAGAATTACCAATTTTTTTTGTAAAAGAAGAGTAGAGAGCACAATGTGTTTCATTTTTAGTAACAGGGTCAGAAGTGAATGGTAGTTAACTCTAATGGATGTGAAAGTGTTCCCACTCATTAAAGTCTGTAACTCTTTATACATTTGTACAATGTCAAGTGGTCTCTATTTATTAAAAGTTAGCCAAACACCAAGATGCGTCTGCTGCTGCCAGCCGACGGGTCTGTGTCGCTCTAACCTTCAGTCGGTTTCAGGCGCGTCACCGTAAAAGACCAGAAGCTTCACCAACAGCACAAGTCTTTGGCTCACTGATCTGACCTTTTGTCTCACCCTTCAGCGCCAGCGATAATTACGTGTTTCTTTTACAGTGTGGGGAATTTATTACTCCTAAACGGAAGCATCTGTGTGTGTGTGTGTGTGTGTGTGTAATGCACCTCAGTCTGTTTCTCCTTTATTTTTGACATTGCTTGAAAAAAAAACATAATTATACCTGCTATAATTAATTTTTTCAGAAGGTGTAGACCCGTAAGCAGAACTTTATTCCCACTAAACGATTTACAGAAAAGACTAAAGAATAACTGAAATGTTTTTATCAATAACATGAAGCTGAATTAGAATTAAAGCATCAAACTACAAGCAAAAACTGAATAAACACGAGATGTTTTCCATCCTGCAGAAATCATTTGCATTTTCCATCTTTTTGATTATAAAAGTAAATGTATTTTATGTTTTGTTTAATCTCACACATGAACAGAGGAGATCATCTCCTCTCCTCGCTGCCACATTAGCACAATTAGCTTTAATATTCTACACACAGAAGCATTATGAGCAAAACCGCATCTTGCAAAGGTGAATGCTACTTCAGCTTCAGAACTAATCCCAAACTACACAAAGCCTTTGAAAACAGACCAAATAGATTTCCACTGAAGCTAACTTTGTTAGCAAAAAGGCCAATTTTGTTCCTTCTAAATGAATTATTGATGAGCTACACAATAAACCAGAAGCTTGTCTTTGCATTTTCTTTTCGTTGCACTTGATTTTAAACAAAAGTATGATTGTTAAATAGCTCCTATCACTAGCGGACAGAGTGGATGTGAGATGCACATGTGCAGAAAACCTGCCACTTCTCAACTATTGATAATCCAGATGCTTCCTTGGCTCCTGATGAATTCTCCCAGCCCGCATTTGGTCTTTAAACATTCATGAGATCGTGTTATCAGCATGAGAAATGAAATGTCCTCAGTAGCTTAGTTACCGTGAACGGCTCCAACATGACCACTAAAGAGCCAGAGTTTTGTGCTGGCTCAGAGTTATTAACATTTATTTAGTTATTCAGACTACGTGAGTTGCTTTGTGTGGAATTCTCTCCCACCTGGCAGCTTTATAAAATATTAATAAACTCATTAAACTTGAATAAAGAGGAGAGTCACATCGTTCTAAAACACCACGACACTGATAATAACCGGCGTCTGTAGCCCGGTCAGATAAACAAACACCATTATGATCTGTTTTGGGAAAAGATAGGATCAGAAAAAAACATTTATTATTCTACAGTACAAACATTCCCTTGTAATCTATATTAATTGTCCACCACTTATTATCTGTGCAAATACCAAAAATATTAAATAACGTCCAGGCAATGCGTAAAACATTGATCAAACTCACCAGTCTGTCCTGTCTTCTTTGCAGAAACTGCGTGAGATTTAATTCCAGGGTCTTTATATCTGCCAGCTTCAGCCACTCGCTCTGAATGAAATCAACAGACACACAATTAAGCAGAATTAATTGTGCAAATTTCAGTTTTTAAGTGGTTCCCCATAGCTCAACAGGTTGAGCTGGTGCTCTATGTCCAGAGGCTCTGAGACCCACAGGCAACCGTCTGAGCTTTGAGTCTCGACCTGAGCCTTTTATTAGATGCATTTGTCTGTTCTCTGTTCCCGTTTGCTGGAAAGTTAATGTTGAATAAAATCATTTATAAAAGGATGGAATCAGTAGTTTTGAGAGGGCTTGTTATGAGATTTATTCCGAGTCGTGCGAAGAAACTTGGGTTTCTTTTACATTTGTCTGTCAGTAAGAAATATAAAAGGTACAACAATCTAATTCTGCATGCTAACACTGGCTAAAGTAACCAAGACAAATCCCATGTTTGTAAAAACTTGGTAACGATTCTGATTCAGTAAATTAGCCAAACCAGTTCTTTTCTGCATATCTTTATCACCCACTGAGTGTGTGTGTGTGTGTGTGTGTGTGTGTGTGTGTGTGTGTGTGTGTGTGTGTAGACTTTATGCAACTCTAAGACAGGGATCACTAGACTTTTAAGCTGGGCGGACACTGTGCGACTTTTTCACTTGTAGCACTCAGCTTCAGCTCAAACTGTACGACTTCCTCGCAGAGCAGATCTCACGAGTGATGTGCTCACACTGTACGTCTGGTAGCAACACACTGGATCTACAAAATATGCTAAAAATAGCAGTTTTTACACAACACGTCAGACTTTTGGTCTTGTTTTGCCTGTTGTCCTTCGGGAGTGCTGCAGGAGGACACACAGGGATTTATGGGGGTTGGATGAGGAAAACGAAATAAAGTAAATCTGTGTTTTGTGATCAGTTTAATTTGACATGAACACGACAAACACGCTTTCTTGACAATCTTTGTCATTGCGTGTAAAAAAACATTTAGAAATAAAAACGAACAACGTGTGTTATTAGGGAAATAGCGGGTGAGCGGAGTTGATACATGTTTGCGCATGCGCCGTGAGCGGTTCTGATACTTTTTGGGTCGCAGCCGCTCGCTGCGCCGCTTCATCACGAGGATGGAGCAACATTTCAAACACTCCAGAAGTCCGTGCGAGCTCACAATTGCTGATCGGTAGCTGGTCACGTGGTGTTAATCGCCTCTCGTAACCGCCTGTATACTACATGACGCTCAGCGCAAAACTCGCCCCGATCTCGTGGATTCTCGCACGACTGGAAAATCGGCTCAAAAAAGTAAAAGTCACACAGTGTACGCCCGGCTTTACATCTACATTAGACAGTGACCCTCAGTTCAATGCTTCCTGACATTTTAGCCAGCAGAATCATTTCCAGGTCACAGTAACTTTAGTGTTCACTGTGGTTTTATTCATGCATACACCGGATAATCCAAGCTACACCTATTCATAAGGTAAATTAGCAAGCTTCTGCTTTGGGTTGGTTGTTGCTACCCGATCCGTACCGGAAACCTGATCCGTATCACACATCTGCCAATCTTAAATCACTTCCTCTCTTTGCCAACATTGCGACAGTTATACTTGAATGACACGTGTAATAAGAAAAAGGCTTTTTATTTCTATCAATATCTTGTGTTGTGTCTCCTTTTTCAAATAAACTGGGCTGTAAAACATCTTCTCTACCTTTATCTGTTGTTCATGCTCTTGTTGTGTTCCACATTATTACAGCAAACTTGTGGAAATCATCAAGTGGTCCTGTGTAACTTTATCTGGGTATATACATATGAGTGCAACTGGTTCCCATAAGTATACTATATTTTCAAACAGTGGTTTTGCAACAATGTGAAAATGAACACTAGGGTGTAACAATAATTAAGTTATTTCAAGACAAAGTGGCAAACTAAGAAATCTAACACAGAAATAGAAAGTAAATCGATTTTAGGTGATGAGCCAAATAGACTTTTGTGCAAGAATATATTACATTTCATATTGGAAAAACATTCATAGGATATGTTGTGCAAATTAAGAATATCTGCTGTATCACAATGACACATTTTTAGCTTTTAAATCAAAATATAACCTATTGTGTGAAAAAAATAATAAAAAATAAAAACTTGTAATAGGTCACCTGAAGACTCATCAGCCAGCTCAAGTTTACTGACAATTTACAGTAGAAGCATAAAAATACTCTACCACATTAACACTAAATTAAATTTAACACACACACACACACACACACACACACACACACACACACACACACACACACACACACACACACACACACACACACACACACACACACACACACACACACACACACAAACACAATTTGTAATGATTGGTGTTCAGCTTACAATAGGGCTCGCTAGCTCAGGCAGCAAGTGGCGGTATCCTCGTGCAAGGGGGAGTAAACATCAGCACATGCCCAACACGGATCAGGTAGACGTAGGTACGATCTCTACCATGTGACATTTTCTTAATTTTTTTCCCGTTTTTGTCTACATTGTATTGAGATCGTTCAATATTGCAAACACTTTAAGAGAAACTTATTATTGTTACCATCTTAACAGATACTCTGACCAGTCTGTAACTATCGTAAGACGCTTTGAGCGGAAGCTGACGCCTTTCGCACATTTGTGGTACGGATCGGGTTTCCGGTACAGCTCGGAAAGCGACATTGCTAAATAAGGATACTTGCTAGCTCTTCACTAGCAATAGCACAGTGGTGAAGCAACATTAACTAGTTATCAGAGTGACAAGTTTATCCATGAGTCTTTTTTCTCTAAAACCTTGTTAGAGTTGCTTCGTCACTGTGCTAGTAGAGAGTGTGCGTGTATCATCATTTTGTAACCCAAAACTAAAGTTGTTGACTTACCTTCGTAGGTATGAATTCAGATGGACATGCACAGTTTAAAACCTTTGTCTGTATTTGATTTTGGTGTCTTAGATGTGGCCTGGATTAGCCGGTGTACAAACTGATGGTATAAAATGGACAAACCCTCCGCATCGTCACCTCTAGGTTTCAGTCCAGTGGGTGGTTCCCACCATCTTGGCCGTGTCACGCTTCTCATCACTTGTGGAAAATACAAAAATGGAGCTGAGAGCGGGGTTGTTAGGGTGGGGGCAGATGACTGACACCCTTCACCATCGGTCGAAGTTACTACAAGCTAACTCAGCTAACCAAAACTAATGGAGGTTGGTGAGCGCTTAGACAGAAACGTGACTCTGCTACATTCTGCCTTCTAGGCTGTAACACTTTTAACAATGGATCCAGCCCCAAGTGGATGAGGGGGGAACTGCACGTTTTGTTAGTTCTGAGTTGGTTTCACTTTAGGCAGGCGGAGTTTGACCCTTGGGTGTAGATTATTATTCGTTACCCTTGGCAGGTCCATCAGCAATCTCGTGAATTTTCCCATAAAAAGCATTGATGTTACTTATACCTGGATGTGACTCAGCTGGCTAAAGCATCAAACAGAGGCTCAGTGAACCCTATTGGTTACCCTTTTGAGCAAATCAAATTCAATATGTTACAGTTAGATGACATTAGCAAAAACAAAAAGGATTAGAACACAAACGATTTTACAGATTTTGAGATGACAATTTGTTTGGTAGAGACAGAAAATCACTGCTTAACATTCTCAGACGCTGAGGTAGAGCCCGTGTCCGGCCGGCCTGAGGGGGTGGAGCCCCAGCCGACGCGGTCCGTAAAGGTTTTCAGGATCCGCTGGCCCACCCGAGCCCGACTTTTTCTTTAACCTTTCATAATGTTTTAGCGTGATAGAATGCTCAGCATTCTAATTATCTGTGGGAAGCGTTCTGCAGTAAAAAAAAAGAAAGAAAAGGTAGAAAAACAGCATTCAATGCAGCTTTTTTATCTAACAGAGCGTGTTTTTCGAGCGGCAGATGAAATTTACGAACACTATATTAATTGGATGCGTTTGTAAATTTAATCTGCTCAGAAAATGCGCTCTTGTGCAATTAGAAAAAAAAAGCAGCATTCTAATTTTTTCACTGCAGAGCGCATTTTCAGAGTGGCAGATTAAATAAACGCCCCCAGTTAATATAGCGTTTGTAAATGTAATCTGCCGCTCTGAAAATGCGCTCTCCAGTTAGAAAAAAAACACAGCAATGTACGCTGTATTTTTTTTAACTGCAGAGTGAATTTATTCACAGATAAATAGAATGCTGCCGTTCTCATGAGAATAAACTAATGGTTTCTGACACATCAAAGTGGACATAAAATGGCATATTAGAATAGGGGCACATGTTTCAATCAGCAGTTTGAGAATTCGTTTATATAGGCGCATTTATAAACCACACAGACCTTAACTGAGCTAACGGGTGCCGATGCGTGAGAAGCAGGCAGGTGCTGCTGCGTTCAAGTGTTTCAGTTTTTTTAAAAGGATTCGATTAAAAATAAAGGCACCCGGCCTGGCCTGTGTCCGAGGTAATTACACAGTCGTTGGCCCGAAGCCCGGCCCTTGGGCCGTCGGGCTGGGCCGAACCGAGGGCCTAGGGCTTCAGTGCAGGCCTCTACGCTGAAGTAATCCCAGTTCAAAAACGCCACCACAGTTAACTGAACAAACAAAATGTCTCTTAACTATCAAATATAGATTTAACAATATAATCATAGAAAAGCTAACTTAGGGCACCAACATAATTCAGTGTGCAAAAATCTGTCATGGTTTGTAGATATGCTCCAAGATGATCCGTTGCCTCCACCCTTTCTACAAGCACCTCTGCTGGATACTGTTTTCAAACTAACTATTGCAATCAAACTTAATATATTTTTATTTTTTTTTAACCACCAGACAGATAATCCATAAAGTAAACTGATACAAACATCAAATGTTCTAATTCAAAAGGATGACTCGTTTCTTTAAACCAGTCGCTGCAGTTTCCTGATGTGTGGAGGCAAACCCAGAGCTGCCAAGCCTCAGGGAGCAAGAAGTCTACGAGACTGTGACATTAAGACCCAAAGACGATTAACTCCCTAAACTCATCCATCTCATGTAAGTAAGGCCTTTTGAACAAG